ATAAATAGCTTATAAAGTAATGGAATCTTTCTTTGAAGGTTCCCTCACTGGCCCCTGGTCTCTTTCTCAAATATAAAGGCCGCCCAATTTTCTTGTTCCAGTTCAATCTACCACCAGAGATAATGGAGTCTTCCTCTTGGCCTGATCATCTTCCTTCAGATCGACGGAGAGCCATTGATGAGCTCGTTAAAGGTCGAGATCTCACCCTTAAGCTTCGCGATCTCGTTCATAGTAACAACAACGACAATAATAATACTAATGCTGCAATCTCATCACTCAATCAAGATCTTGTTCTCAACATACTCAAGTCTTTCACCAACTGTCTCTCCATTTTGAAGAGAAGTTATGGTGAGTCTGATGAAGTCTCTCAAGTTCCAACTGATCCTACCCACTTCACCTGGGACGCTGATGTTGCTGTCAAGTCTGAGGATTCAGAGGGAAGTAGTAAAACTACTTCAACAATCAAAGATCGGAGAGGATGCTACAAGAGAAGGTAATAATAATAATAATAATAATTCTACCTTTTTTATAAATAAAAAAAAAAAGTCTTTTAAGGTTAGTTTAGATAAAGGGTTGTTTTTGAAACTTTTTAGATTAGTATTTTGAGTGATTAACCAATAATGTTTAGTGAAAATGTATTTATTAATAGTTTTTTAGGGTTAGTTTAGTGATGTTCAAGAGAGAAAGAGATGTTTTTGGAACTTTTTAGATTAATATTTTGAGTGATTAATTAACCATTGATTAATGAAGATATATAAATATATTATGCTTTTGATTAATTGTTTAATTCAGGAGTGTTTAATTACTAATCTTAACACTAATTAATTGAGGTTCCTTTTGGAATTCACTTGAATTAATCACTATATTATTTCCCATTTCTTGATTGCAGAAAGTGTTCTGATTCGATTACCAAAGAGACCTCTACCCTGACGGACGATGGCCATGCCTGGAGAAAATATGGACAGAAAGTGATTCTCAATGCCAAATACCCAAGGTATGATATCAAAATTCAGTCAGAAAAGATTATTTGAAATAATCTAGCTAGATCTTTAACCTAATTTTAAGTTTTGATCCATTTTCTGTGTGCAGGAACTATTTTAGGTGCACCCACAAGCATGACCAAGGTTGCCAGGCCACAAAGCAAGTCCAACAAATTGAAGAGAATCCTCCATTGTACCGTTCAATATATTATGGTCATCATACATGCAAGAATTTGCTCAAGGCTTCTCAGCTTCTTTTGGATTCTACTTCAAAGGATCAATCTTCGATGATCAGCTTTGGTAATATCCCCATCGCAGATAAACAAAACCACCCATTTTTCTCTTCCTTTTCCTCATCTGTGAAACAGGAATACAGGGATGAGTTACCACCTAGTGATCATCATAATGACCCCTCATCTTCGTCCGATCATCATTATCTCTTGCCACCTCATGATGATCAACTTACAACATTGTTGTCATCGGATCATGGGGAGGTGATTTCTGGGGGTAATTCTTCATGTTCAAGTTTGGACATGGAAGTCATGGCGGTGGAATCTGTCAACTTTGAAGATGATATTTTGCAATATGTCTTTTAATCTATATGCCCAGTTCCCTTGTAATATGTTCTTGTAGGAAAAACTTTATTAAATTTGCTCTAGCTTCTTTTTATAAGACTCATAGTTTCTTCTGTAACTCCCCTCCTAATGTATAATATGAAAAATTTTAGCTTCTCCATTACTGTATCAGTACTGCTTTAGTGTCTCAACATGGAGAAAATGAATCCTAGCCTTTTTTTTAAGATAAGGTTATGATAAAGTCATGTATAGTGTGCATTAAAGAACTCCTTGCTTGCTAAGTAATTATGTTGAACACTTTAGGAATAAAAGTTGCTGACGGTTAAGGTAGTCTTCTAGCATGGACCAAAAAACAGTATTTGAACAGGCTCTACCAGCTTGACGGTTCGTTTGAGACTCTTGGATATATTACTCAAGAGGTCTTAAGTTCGAATCTTCACGACTATTAATAAGGGGTAATCACTTGAGACTTATCTAGTCGTTAACTTCAGGGCTTTAGGGACTAGTTGAGGTGCACGCAAGCTGGTTGGACACCCTCAGATCCTTGGATACCATCTCGAAGAATCTATAACCACCAATATGATTTGGGTTAAAGATAAGAATTGGGTTAGCTAAAGTTAGACCAATTGCAGATATAGTATACAATAAGAACTGGGTACTCACTGGAGGCTTATCTGGTCATTAACTTCAGGGTTTCAGGGACTAGTTGAGGTGCACGCAAGCTGGTTTGATACCCTCAGATACCATCTCGAAGAATCTATAACCACCAATATAATTTGGATTAAAGATAAGAACTGGGTTAGGTAAAGTTAGACCAATTGCAGATATAGTATGCATTAAATTAACTTAGTTATATCCATGTCACAACGAAGACAGTGGCCATAGATAATTTGCAAGTTACTCAAATATTATATAACCAAGTTCAACTTTGCACTACATATGAAGTTGACATTAACCCATATTCTTGTATCTTAAACCCTAATTATTTGGCCTAATGAAACACATGTTAATTTATTTATTAATTATAGCTTGAGTAATGGACAAAACCATATCCCATATCAATTCAGAGAATCCCATCCTCTTTTGAGTCTTGTCTGTTAATTTCCTTTAGGAGAGCAAAAGATTAAACATCCTGATAAGGATCTTAATTAGGTGGCTAAAAGAAAGGATTTATAAGATGGATGATGAAAAAAATGTTGATTCTTCAAGCGTTTACGTGGGGCAAACGCTGAAGAAAAGCACACAAAAAATCTAAGAATGATCTAAATTTACCTATGAGGATGCCCCCACAGCACATGAAAACGAACAATGTCTTTGTAACTTCTTGGACGCTGCATGCTTTTGAAAGATAGAGAAAGAAGGAAGTATGCTCAAGCACAGTGAACCGATCGACCACTCACTTTCAAATCATCAATCAACTTTATAAAGTTTATTCACTTGGAAAATTTTGGCCCTCTTGAACGTGAGATCAGCAAGGATTCAAACATCCATTTACGCCTTCCCATGATCTTCTTTCCACATTCAAAATTCAATGTTTCAACCCTCGTGGATTGAGATAAATGGGGTCCTCTTTCTTTTTTGCAGAGGACAAGACCATGTAAATACAAAGCTATAACCTGTCAAATTTTATGATTGCTCCATGTCCCTCGATCAACTTTTGTTTTGGGTAATCTTGTTTGTTCATACTTTGTGGAAATTTGATCAGTACCTTTCAGTCAACACCAATCTTTTTCTTTTATAATCTATCCATGAACCAATGTATAAGGAAACTTACAGAGACAATTCATAAAATTTATTCCATTTAAATTTCACTCTTTTGATTACTCCTCTTTGGATTCATTCAGCTTTCTTAATTAACATATATAATATTCGAGTTTGGTGGTTGTTGAGCAATTTGTACTGCCCCCAACTTTCAATTATTTTATCTCATGTTGGTTTTAAGTACAATTCTCTGTCAGGTCATTTCTGCAGGTTGTTTAACTGGTTATATTTTGCAAGACACTGATTATAAAAATCATGCCAAAACAAAACGACAGTTTGAGGTTTATCTTCCTGTAATAAGTTTGGTAGAAGTTAACACACACACAAAGAACATCAATTGGTTGAATAAACACCAATTAACTTTCTCTTCCTATAATATTACATGTTTTATGTATATACATGGTTGGCTTATGTTCCTGGTAATACTGACACCTTATGAGGATTGAGTAATTAACAAGGTGGGCGGCTTCATTCTTAGTTGTCATTATCATATCCAATTACTGTTTGACCATAGCCCCATACAAGCTTCTGCCGAAGCATCCAAGTATGCCATCCATCCTCGGTTTTAGAGATAGCAATGGAGCTGATATTTTTTAGTACCTGGCCTAACCCATCTCGAAAAGGTCGGGTTTTACCAGATGTTCGTGGGTTTGAGCTTGCGTCTGGGCCTGATTTTAAGGCCCGACCTTGGGTACGGGCCGAGTTTGGGTATATTTTCGGGTCCGACCCGATAATTTTAGTATTAATTATACTAAATTATCCTTATACTATATATTTAATTATAAGATTATCCTACATATATATATACTCATTTTTCCCAAACCCTAAATGGATGGATGGATACACTTTGTGGAAAGTTATTTATATATTTGTGAGTATTAAAAAATAAATTAATATTTAAAAATTGTTTCTAGAATTAAAAATATAAAAAAAAATTGAAATTTATTAATATTTAAAAATTCACATTATAAAAATGAGTGGGCTTCGGCCGGGCCTAAGGTTACAAAAAACCCGTCGGGCCGGGCTTGGACTTTACCTATCATACTCATGATGGGCCCGGGCCGAGCTTGGGCCTTTGTCATGAGGTCAGGCTTGGGTCTGGGCCAAGGGGTACCCGATCTCGGCCCAACCCATTGCCATCACTACTCGATTTAGAGCCATCTAAAGCCTACCTGACTAATTGGTTTTATTTGTTCTGAGCATGTGCACTCTTGTCGAGCGCTTGTGCCCGTTTTCTCTTTTCTGTTTGGTTTGAGCTTGCGAGCTCTGTTAGGGTGCTTGTGCCCATCCTTCCCCTCGGTTTAGAGCCTGCAATGCTCCCTTTTAGGCGTTTGTTTCTATCCTTTTGTCCAAAAAGATGGACACATTTGTTCTTATCTTCTTTAGACTTCTTTTGAAGGTATACCCCTAGTTTCTGTATGTTTTTTTTTTTTTATCATTCATACCATATAAATTATGGACATGGACAATCTACATACTAATGAATTGGGTTAGTAACCTCACTCAAAACTTTTTTTTTAAACTCTTGGATTCATCCCTGATTATAGATCAATGTTCTAACAAAAAAACTTGTTAATCGAGTCTAAACTCATGAATTTTATTTCATCTAATAAAAAAACAACTGACTTAGCTTAATAATATACATGGATTCTAGATCTTAATCTCTGAAAGTATTGTTATATCTGGTTTCATCTTTCAAGTGAGACTAAGCTTCATTTACTGAGAACTTGCCAACAAAATCACGAACATAAAGCCCCCAAACCAGAGCCACAGAGCACAAGGCCACCGGCAAAGGACCAAACATCCACAGCAACAAAGGAAAGCACATGCACAGAATCCGATTTCCAATGAAAGCCATCATGAAACCCTGCTCAAACACCATCTGTGTGTATGCAGGAAACGAGAACTCCTCAGGAGCGCTCACCAAAAAGTTAGCATCAATCAACTGCCCGAGTCCCAAGGCGCTGCAAAAGAAGCTAGCCAACAGAAAGAAAGACGTCGAGCCAAACTTTAGAGCAAAAATTCTCCCACCATTACCCGATTCTGGCTCCAAAATTACACTCTGGAAAATCCTGCTTGCGTTGTAGGTGTTGTTCGTTAGCGCTGCCAATGCTAACTCCACCAGAATCGCTATTGTTGCAGCTATAGTTGTCGTCAATAGTGTGTTTCTCAAGCTTTGAACCGCCAACATCGCCTTCTTATCATCACCCTAATCATCAAAATCTCATTAGCATCAGGGTTAAGATGAACATAAGTAATCTATGGATTAACGATTAATTACCTCTTTCATGTTCATAAACCATTCTTTTCTTCTCAATGCTTCGATTCCGATCGTGATACGGGAGGGCTTGATCTTGAAATAACACCACAGATTTACATGGTAACCCACTATAAGGAAGAGGCTCAAGGGGACTAAAACACTATCCAAAAGAAGGATAACGGCCATCGTTGAGCAAAAATCAAGCGAGGATTTTTTAACAAAAAACAAGTCTATTTAATCACAAATGCCAACCGGGTTTGATCTTAAAGTGGAGGAATTCTGTTGAATCATGCTCATATACGCAATATAAAAGCAACTTCGTTTCTAAATTATTGGCCATTAGTGCGCTCTGTAAAGTAGTGGATTAGAAATAATGGACATTAGGATGATTTAGTGGGAATTGTGGGAATGGGAACAATAAAGAGACGATGGCAACTTTTTCATCAAAATGATAATATTTTGAGCCAATAATGCCATATTTTTGTTTATTTAATTACTGTTCTTCTTAATTTCCTTTTTTATTTGCTAAACTTTATTTAAAGGTGACACTGAGGTTCCTAACATATATAGATATCTTACACACAGGTACACAATTATTTAAGCAAAGTACTAAATTCTCGGGATCCGTTAAACACTGTACTCGGGATCAATTGATTATCTTATAATCCAATGATCAAAGTAAGCCACAAATATGACGGTGATAACTTTGTGTGACTCAAACACAAAAGGGTGTGTTTGGTTTAATATTTCTATCCTTATTCCCAATCATTTTTTCAAAATATCTGTTTGTTTAATTATTTAGGAAATACTATTAGATTTTTTTAATTATTTTTAGATCTCTTAAGTTTATTAATTTCATTAAATACCCACAGAAAAAAAAGTTTGAAAATTAACAAAAACACCCCCACCCACCTATAGTTGCCAGATTCTAGCAACCACTATCAGTGGTAGCCTGAATCTGTCACAACGGCCTACAAATGACCGGAACTTGCCAATAATTCGTTGATCGACCATATCTTTGACCGTCGCTGAAGGCAAGATCTAGCCTTTTGCGGCCGTTGACGGCCAGATCGACGCACTTCCGACCAGATCCAACTGGTTTGCATCATAACGCCAAATTCTGACCAGATTCCGACGGTGGTGGCCGGAATCTGGCACTATGGGTGGGTGGGGGTGTTTTTGCCATTTTATAAATTTTTTATATACTGGGGTGTTTAGTTAAATTAGCAAATTTAGGAGGTTTTTTTTGTACATTTTTAAATTTTACCTCGTAATAGTCACCATACTCAACTATCCAATACTATCTCCAAAATCCTATCTAAAATAATAATATCCAATACTATCTCCAAAATCCTATCTAAAATAATAAACCAAACGCACCTAAAACCTTTTAGTAACCTAATGTCTTGTCATCCGGCTATAAGCCAAGTAGTTTAAACTTATTATTTTGTTTTTGAATTATATCCTAATTTCTTAAAAAAAAATATATTTTTTATTTACCTTTATAAGATGTATAATTGAAACGCATATTGGCCGCTGTTATGGAAAAATACTACTTAATAATGGTCAAAAGCTCTCTTATTAAAACTTTATTTTAGAGAAGAATAAAACGGGCCCTATTTTGTTTTTGTGAAGCCCATTTGAGATGGAAATGGGCCAAATTGAGCCCAATATTGTCGGCCCAGTAAAAGGGATTCCGTTATAACGTCACTATTACAGAACCTGGCGAGGAGTAATTGAGTAATTGGTGATCGGCTAAACTAAAGTGGAAAATGAGCAACTTTACCAAAATTATTTTTGGGAGTGGCAAAGAAGAAGATGATCCGAGTGGGGTTTTACTTTTATTATTATTATCTTTTAGGGTTTTTAATTTTGTGTTTTTGTAATTCAGTCAGAAATGTTATTGGGTCGATTCACTAGTACAGAAATGAAGCTTTTATTGCACAATCAAATGCTTTCTTCTTTCATGGCGGCAGTGAAGGCCTTTACGCTTCCAAAGTTGTTGATTCCTCTTCTTCATCTTCTTCTCCTGATAAGCCTGTCAAGGGCAAGTCCTTTCTTAGGTACATCTTAATTCTTGTTTTCATGATTTTGTTTGAAATGAATTTGTTCCCTTTTTTTTTTTTTTTTTTTTGAATTTTGATTATTTTGGGTGTTGTAACAAGTAATGATGTATGTTTAGTATGGTTCTACGAAAGTTTGGTGAGTTTTAGAGTTGTTTGATGGATATGTAGATTTGATTAGCTTCAATTGGTGGGGTGATATGAGCTAATTGAGTGAGAGGGTTTTGATTGTGGTGGATGAATTTGTTTCGTTTCTGGAGGGTTTTAAGCTTATGCATATGGAATTTCAGGTTTGAAACTGTTACATTTGTGAGGCCGAGGGAGTCTGCTAGGAAGAAGAATGAGATGCAGCAGAAAACTGGATTGGTGGAGGCTATCATACTTGAGGTTAAAGATAGGGAAAGAATTGGAGGTTCATTTCTAAAATTGGATACCATATGTTGCATGAAGAATCTTTCTAGGGATGGGTATTGCAATATTGGAGAGGTTATTATTCACAAAAATCTGGACAACCCCGACTGGCCTAAACGCGTACAAACTTTCTTTGAGGGAACCAACGAAGAAGCTCAAATGTCTCCTGATGATATTGTTTATATAGATAGAACTGGAATGTACTACCTCTATTTTATGTTTTGTGATCCAGAACTCAAGGGTACTTTGGTTAAAGGAAAAAGTGTGTGGAAGAACCCAGATGGTTATTTACCAGGAAAGATGGCTCCTTTGATGACATTCTTTGGCATAATGTCTTTGGCTTACTTGGTGCTTGGCCTAGCATGGTTTTTTAGTTTTGTCCAATTCTGGAAGAATATTATGCAGTTGCACTATTACATCACCGTGGTTATTGCTCTTGGAATGTGTGAAATGTCTTTCTGGTACTTTGATTATGCCAATTTTAATTCAACTGGGAGCAGACCCATGGGGGTTACATTGTGGGCCGCATCGTTTACTTCTGTTAAGAAGACTCTGTCTCGCCTTCTTCTGCTTGTGGTCTCTATGGGCTATGGTGTTGTCAAGCCAACCCTTGGTGGTTTAACCTCGAGAGTTGTTCTTCTTGGTTTGGTATATCTTGTTGCATCAGAGGCCCTTGAGCTCTTTGAAAATTTGGGAAACATCAATGACTTTTCTGGAAAAGCAAAGTTATTTTTGGTGCTGCCTGTTACCTTTCTGGATTCCTGCTTTATTCTGTGGATCTTCTCATCACTCTCCAAAACTTTGGAGAAACTTCAGGTAATCTTCTGATTCTGCCATTCTTGCCATTTCCAAAAGTTTATGTTAACATGTCTCTTAAAATGGTAAGTTAGCAGTAATTATTTACCATTCAAAGAAGTGAAGGTAATTTGGTGACCAAAATGATTTCTTTAGATGATGAGTAATAAATGCTAATTTACCGTTTCAAGTCTCTTAACATATGCCCTAGAACGATATACATCCACAATTGCTCATTTATCTTTTGTTTTCCATCTCTGTATTTCCATTTTTTTTTTCTGTGTATTTGGGTGCAGATGAGGAGAAACATGGCTAAATTGGAGCTGTACAGAAAGTTTACCAATTCTCTTGCCGTGTGTGTGCTACTCTCTATAGCTTGGATTGGATTTGAGGTAACTGGGTGTTGTTGCAATTTAAAAACTCTGTAGTGCTTTGTGGTGTACGAAGTTTCTGAAGTATTTCCACTTGTACATTTGTCTCAAACAACACTGCTAATTGAAGCTTATCTACCTTCCTTGGCAGCTATATTTCAGTGCAACTGATCCGTTAAATGAGCTGTGGCAATTTGCCTGGATCATTCCAGCTTTCTGGAATTTCCTTTCATACACTCTTTTGATGGTGATATGTGCCCTTTGGGCTCCTTCACGTAACCCTACTAGGTACTTGCTTTGACTTGACTCCTTGTTCTTTGGTGTTTTAATTGCTTCATTCTCATTCTGGTTAGTGATGTTTCCACTTTTCCTTCCACACTTGGGCTGTCTTTTCTGCAACTTTTTTAATTTATTACATACTTTTTGAATCTAAGCTATCACTAACCTGACAAATGGTTGTTATGGTTAGAAATATTATTTAGTTTCTTGATTTGGCAGATAGAGTCAACTCATGGTATGATGATGGGATAATTCTTCTTTTTTTATTATATATATATATATATTTTTTTTTTTTTCCTTAAATTTGAAGCAATTGTATTATGATGGAGCCTTTGCTGAAAATAGCATATTAAAGTATGTATATTAAGTCATTTTTCTGTGTGGACGTTATAACTTTTTTGAAGTGCGGATGAAGGGCAGATGACCAGTATTGTTTAACACAGTGAAAAATCAAAAGTTATTGACTAGTCGCCAACCCTGCCCTTTAAAATTTATGACATCTTGTGGTTTATGTGAAGTGTGATTCAATTTGCCTGAGATAGCTTAACATGCGACATACTTATATTTTTGTGTTCCTGGTATTGATGAAAGATGAGTAATGTATTACTGCTAATTTGGTGTGGATTCGTAGCTATGCTTACTCAGAGGAGATGGGAGAGGACTTTGATGAGGAGGGTGTCGCGCTGCTGGCACCGGGATAAAAACTGGAGATATGAGAACTAGGGCGGATCATGTGTTGGCCTTGGAGAAGACGTTGAGGAGTATAAGCGGGAATAGATTGATATTTCCATTTCTCTGTTTGCACATCCTGGAATTTGTCTGTAAATCTTGCCACTCAATGAAGGTTGCATGTACAAAAGCAAGTGTGAATGTTATGTACAATGAATTGAAAGAACAAAGAAAGGAGTTAAATATCAGTTTTAAGTTTTATAGCTGAACTTTTATCTTCTGAGAATTACAAATTTAGGCACTAAACAGAGTTTTTTTTTCTTTATCTTTGTGCTCCTATCATAATTTATTATTATATATGTGCTTGTGCTTTCTTGCTCATATAATTGTAGATGAGTTTAGCAGTGACATAATCAGGATTTTTAGTCGGCCGGGTCAAAATATCAACCAGAAACAAAGTCCTAAATCTTATAACTTAGCCTTTCACACAATTTATACAAACCCAATAAAATTCAACTTATAAACCCATCAAATCCAGCTCAACATTCAAGTAGATAATCAATATTTCAAAATTAAATCAAGTCCTCAAATCTCTACAACATAGGGTCGTTGTTTTAAAACCTGGACCGGAGGGTAATCTGTTTTGTTGCCTGGGTCATGGGTCAAACAGTCCAATCGGTTGGACCGACTAGTTGAATCGATGACGTTAGCGACAATTTTATTTTTAAAAAATTACATATTAATCTCTTAAATTTTAATATATTACAAAATTCCTCTAAAAAGGTTTAATTAGTCCCTAAAATTTTTATTTAGTTTAAAAATACCCCAAAAAATTACCAATTAATCCCTAAACTTTTGATATATCTCCAAAACACCCCTATAAAATTATAATTAACCCTTATAATTTTAAAATATTACAAAAACCCCCTAAGACCTGGACCGGACATGGACTGGAGAAGCTTCTGGGTCCCGGTCCGGTCCAGTTTTTAAAACAGAGCTTAAGGTTACTAAAATTTATCGAATTCAACTTAAAACAACAACTAATTAACTCATACTTCAACATAAACAAGATTAAATCAAAACGTATATTAAAATCTAGGAATTTAATCTTCTAATTTTAAACTCATTTATTAAACTCAACAAAAACTCATTGTCCATGATCTTTTATCAATTAACAAAGATAAAAGAAAAGAATTTTAAGTCAAAAAATAAAAAATAAAAAATGAGCATCATGTTATCTTATAAACCAAAGGAGTTGCTTTTCTTGACCGTCTAACAAAAGGAAAAAGATAATAAGAGAGATAATGATAAGAGATGAAGTAGACAGAAACGTAAAAAAAAGTGTTAATTAATAATTCATTTTTATAGGTCAACATGAATTTAAGTTGGGTGAAAATTATAAAATTCCATAAAACTAAAAACTTTTTTTAATTTTTTTTTTTTTAAATTTAGTGGAACTGTTGTATGTGTTAGTATCATGTTAATTATAGAAAAGTGATTTCAATATCATACGTCTAAGATGATATTAAATAACAATAAAGAAGAGCATATTTGACACCTTTATAGAGATATAGACTTGAACAGTCAAATAACAATTTCGACTAAACATGAATAATCGTTCTTATAGATGACGATCGTCCTTAGGGATTAACGATTATTCATTATAAGAAATTATTTCTATGAATGAACGTGTTGTAAGATTAGGTTGTAGGCATAATATTACTCATGATTGAAACGTTTTCTCAATTTTTTCTTTGACAATTTAGTCATCCGCATAACGATTTGTCATAGGCCCAATATAGCCACATAGTAAGATATGAGTGTCAATTGAATCCACTGAAAGTTTTGAAAAAAAAAAAAAAAATTTATTTATATGGTATTTACAATTTTGACCTATTAAATTCATATGTACGTTGACCCTACCAAATGATTAATTACATTTTTTTAACTTTCTCTCTCCCTTCATTCCTCTCTTTTTCTATGCTACTTTTTCTTATTTGGTTGGATTATTCAAAAAAAAAAAAAAAATTATTTAGGGTTACAAGGTAGCATGATGGTTTTTTTTTTTGTTTTTTAAAAATATTTTTTGTCTTTCTAAATGTTAAAAGATCACGAGCTATAGCTTTTATTGAGTTAATAAATAGGTTGAAATTGGAAGATAATTCTAGATTTGATGTGGGTCTGATTTAATCTTATTTATGTTGAGAATGAGTTAATAGTTGTTGTTTTAAGTTGGGTTTGATAAATTTTAGTTAGTTATGAATTAATTTTGAGTGGTTTTAAAAAATTAATGAAACGTTAAGTTACAGAGATTTGGGATTGATTAATTTAGATTTAGGTTAATTGTTTGATATTTAAAGTTAGATTAGATAAGTTTTTAGGGGTTTATGACTTGAATTTTATCGAGTTAATAGAAATTGTTTGAAAAGTTAAGTTATAAGATTTGGGGCTCGGTTTATAGTTGATGATTTGATAAATTAAGTTATAATTGTTGCGGGAAATGTACCGGTGGCAGTGGGGATTATAGTAGTAGGGAGGTGAAGGAGAATGTACTAGTGGTGGTGGGTTTGTAATAGTATGAGGTGGGTGGGGGATGTACGGGTGGTGGTGGAGATTGAACCCACTCACTAGAAATCTTGACTACTTTTGCCTATAATTCAATAGAATAAGTAAGTCATAAATGTGATAGATGACCCTTTATGTGACTTAAACACAAGATTTTTGAGTAATCCAGAGTCTTATCATTTGGCACGGTTTAACCCATTAATTATATACGTGTAAAACCATTATTTTATTTTGAATATATCCTAATTTCTTTTTTTTTAAATATATCCTTTATAAGATGTATAATTGAAACGCACATTGACCGTTGTTGAAAAATACTACTCAATAATGGTCAAAAGCTCTCTTAAAACTTTATGTTAGAGAAGAATAAAACGGGCCCTATTTTGTTTAGTAAAGCCATTTGATGGAAAGGGCCAAATTGAGCCCATATTATCGGCCCAGTAAAAGGGATTCCGTTATAAAGTCACTATTATTACAGACTGGCGAGGAGTAATAACTTGGTGACGGATAAAACTAAAGTGGAAAGTCAGCAACTTTACCAAAATTATTTTGGGAGTGGCAAAGAGGAAGATGATCCGAGTGGGGTTTTACTTTAATTATTATATCTTTTAGGGTTTTTTATTTTGTGTTTTTGTAATCAGTCAGAATGTTAATGGGTCGATTACGGTACAGAAATGAAGCTTTTATTGCACAATCAAATGCTTTTCTTCATGGGGGCAGTGAAGGCCTTTACGCTTCCAAAGTGTTGATGCCCTTCTTCATCTTCTTCCTGATAAGCCTGTCAAGGGAAGTCCTTATTAGGTACATTTTAATTCTTATTTTCATGAATTTGTTTGCCTTTGTTTTTTTTTTTTTTTTTTTTTTTTAAATTTGATTATTTTGGGTGTTGTGAACAAGTAATGATGTATGTTTAGTATGGTTCTACGAAAGTTTGGGGGGTTTTAGAGTTTTTTGAGAATCATTAGATTTGATTGCTTCAATTGGTGGGGTATATTAGCTTCAATGGTGTGGTCATAGAGCTAATTGAATGAGAGGGTTTTGATGTGGTGGATGATTTGTTTCGTTTCTGGAGGGTTTTAAGCTTTTATGCATATGGAATTTCAGGTTTGAAACTGTTACATTTGTGAGGCCGAAGGAGTCTGCTAGGAAGAAGAATGAGATGCAGCAGAAAACTGGATTGGTGGAGGCTATCATACTTGAGGTTAAAGATAGGGAAGAATTGGAGGTTCATTTCTAAAATTGGATACCATATGTTGCATGAAGAATCTTTCTAGGGATGGGTATTGCAATATTGGAGAGGTTATTATTCACAAAAATCGGACAACCCGACTGGCCTAAACGGTACAAAATTTCTTTGAGGGAACCAACGAAGAAGCTCAAATGTTCGTGATGATATTGTTATATAGATAGAACTGGAATGTACTACCTCTATTTTATGTTTTTGATTCCAGAACTCAAGGGTACTTTGGTTAAAGGAAAAAGTGTGTGGGAAGAACCCAGATGGTTATTTACCGGAAGAGGGCTCTTTGATGACATTCTTTGGCATAATGTCTTTGGCT